CACTCTCCGTTAGAGAGTGATCCTCGTTGGACATCCTGAAGTGTATCATGAGTTGAGGACCCTCGTCGACGTCTTCCGGCTCAAAAACTTCCTTGCGTAGGGAGGAAAGGAATTCCACAGGCACACGCTCGTAAGTGTGAGCGCGGAGGTGGATGAAGTCGCCCCAACCAAAGTTTTGAGCCAACCTAGTCACCTCATCCAATATTCCCAGTTTCCTCAAAGTTTGAGGGCAAAAGAACCTTGTAGACCTAATCGGACTCTTGATGAGTGATGCATATATAGGCCAAAATTGCTCGTCCAGAGCTATAATGCCATGATCGTTGATGCCGGGAGGAGGTGGGAATTGTGTTGCTTAGGATTCTCCCACCCTCTTCCTCTTTGACTTTCCTTTTCCCTTGCCGAACATCTTGATTCTACAAATTCACCAAGAGCATATCATTAAAACAAATTGATAGGAAATGACATAAGAAGCCGTACTTAACCAAGGTAAAAGTGTATGCTTGAGAGTATACAATTCAAGGCATGCATGAATACATTTGGACCAAGGTTTGAATAAGGATTCCTATGTCATTCCTAAATTAGTCCTTACAAGGTCTAGGTGAACTTTGGCATGATGTCCCCTAATTTTCATGATATACATTCATCAAACCATCAAAATCAAGCCAAAACCATGAATAACAATCTTCAATAACATCCAACTCATGCATTTCTCAATCATAAAATGGTAACATGAATACCCTAGGTTGAAATCAACACTCAAATACATTGAGATAAAAATAAAACCAAGGTAAACATGCATAATCATCATAAGAACATGTTCTACTATGAACAACCAATCAATTGCAACAAGTCAATCCAAAGAACCACATGAAATAAACAAGTTATTACTAATAATTTCAAGAATACCATAATTCACACTTAAATATGTAAAACATGGTAAAACTATAAGAAATTAAAGAAATAAACTTGCAAAAGCTAGAAAAAACATACCACAATTGATTGGAAGGAAGTAAAAACCCAAAAACACCAAAGCACTTAAACCCTTGAAATTGGGGAAAATGGAAAGATGGGTTTGTTTGGTGAGGAATTTTTGGTAGAGATTGTAGAAATTGAGTTAAGGATGGAAAATAAGAGAGAAAGGGTGAAGATTGGAGTGATTTTGATGGAGATTTGAGGGTGTAAGGGGAGGTGCAATGGAGGTTTAGAGTGAGAAAGAGAGGAATGAGGTAGGTGACGAATATGGGAGTTGTGTTCACGAAAATGCAGCAAAATAGAAAATATGGCAGCATTTTTTTTTTCGAATCTGAAGATAGGTTCGGCCGAACCGAAAGTATGTTCGGTCGAACCACAGTAGAGGTTCGGCCGAACTCCCCTTTGGTTCGGTCGAACCATTGCCAAAACTCTACATTATAAAATCCGGGCAGAAAGTTCCAGCAAAATTGCAAAAAGAGAGGAGTGACCGAACCCAGGGAAGTTCGGCCGCACTACAAGTTAAGTTCGGTCGAACCATACGGGGGTTCGGTCGAACCTGTGCTGGAAACGCAAATTTGAAAATTCTGGCAGAAAGTTGCTGGAAATATCTAAAAATTAAGGAGTGACCGAACCCAGGAAGGTTCGGCCGCACTACTGTGTAAGTTCGGTCGAACCTCCCAGGGGTTCGGTCGAACCTTATGCCAGAATGAAATATTTTTGTTTTTTGGCAGAATGCTGCCATAAATCCTTGAAATTGCTGCAGTGGCCGAACATGAAGTGGTTCGGCCAAACTCCCATAAAGAATCACACAAGTAAAAATAGTCCTTAACACACATCTAAACACATTACAATCATGCTAGATGTAAAGCATATCTAAAACCCAAGCACAATCAAAACTCAAAAATCTCAACAATCCAAAGTCGTAGATGGAAAAATAGAAGCGACGTGAAAAGAAAAAGTATAAAAGGGTTAGAAACTCGGGTTGCCTCCCGGAAGCGCTTTTGGTTAACGTCGTTAGCTCGACGTTCCTTGAGTTGATCAAGGAGGGTCGAATTGACGATGCACATCAAGAAGTGTCACAGAAACCGGTTCATCACTTGGGAATCCTTCATAATAGGGCTTGAGACGGTGACCGTTGACTTTGAAAGGAGAGTGGCTGTCTTGGGAAATTTCGTAGGCTCCATATGGAAAAACTTCCGTGACAATGTACGGCCCACTCCATCTTGACCTAAGTTTGCCCGGGAAAAGCTTCAAGCGGGAGTTGAATAGGAGGACTTTTTGGCCTTTGACGAATTCCTTATTGACAATTTGAGCATCGTGCCAAGCCTTAGTCCGCGCCTTATACATGCTTGCGCTATCGTAGGCACTCATCCTCAACTCCTCTAACTCATGTAGCTCTAAAAGCCTTTGCTCACCCGCACTATGGAGATCAAAGTTGATTTGCTTGATTGCCCAATGCGTTCGATGCTCCATCTCCACGGGCAAATGACAATTTTTCCCATAGACAAGCTTGTAGGGAGTGGTCCCTATTGGAGTTTTGAAGGCGGTCCTATAAGCCCATAGTGAATCAATAAGTTTGGAGGACCAATCCTTCCTTGTCCTAGCAACCGTCTTCTCCAAAATCACCTTGAGCTCTCTATTGGTGACCTCCGCTTGACCACTCGTTTGAGGGTGGTACGCAAGCCCGCGCTTGTGAGACACCCCATATTTATCAAGTAGTCGAACGAAGGTGTGGTGCTTGAAATGAAATCCCCCATCACTAATTATTTCTCTTGGAACACCAAATCTCGGGAAGATCACTTTTTTGAAAAGATTGACCACCACCTTAGAGTCATTCGTTGGAGAAGCCACGGCCTCCGCCCACTTAGACACATAGTCAACGGCGACCAAAATATACTTGTTCCCATGTGAAGAAATGAAAGGGCCCATGAAGTCTATAGCCCACACATCAAAAACTTCAAGCTCAAGGATGGAGTTTTGCGGCATTTCATCCCTTCTAGAAATATTCCCCATCCGTTGACATCTATCACAAGTTTTGACAAATATCCACGCATCCTTGAATAGAGAAGGCCAAAAGAGCATAGATTGAAGGACCTTTGAGGCGGTCTTTTGAGCACTCATATGCCCACCACAAGGAGAAGAGTGGCACATATGGAGAACACTTTGAACCTCGTCGTTGGGGACGCATCTCCTCAACAAACCATCGACCCCCCTTTTCAATAGAATGGGATCATCCCAAATGTATCTCTTGGCCTCGTGCTTGAGTTTTCGACGTTGTTGCAAAGTGAAATCCGGCGGTATGGCACTACAAGCTTAGTAATTCACAATATTCGCATACCAAGGCTCCGATTTCACTTCAAGGACATAAAGCACATCATCTCTTAGAGCGTCCTCTATTGGCAAGCCATCATCTTCAAACCTTGCACCGCCCGACCTTGAGTGGTGATCCGCCACCACATTCTCGGCTCTCTTCTTGTCTCTTATCTCATAATCGAAGTCTTGGAGGACTAAAACCCATCTCAACAGCCTTGGTTTAGCTTCCTTCTTCCCTATCAAATATTTGAGAGCCGAGTGGTCGGTATACACAATTGTCTTAGAACCAATGAGGTAGGTTCTAAACTTCTCGAATGAATGGATAACTGCTAAGAACTCCTTCTCGGTAGTTGTGTAGTTTTGTTGGGCATCATTGAGAGTTTTAGACAAATAATGTATGACATGAAGTTTCCCATTCTTTCGTTGTCCAAGAACCGATCCAATGGCCTCGTCGCTGGCATCACACATGAGCTCAAATGAAAGAGACCAATCCGGACCTTTGACAATAGGAGCGGTGCAAAGGGCTTCTTCCAACCTACAAAAGGACTTATGATAAGCATCATCAAACACAAACTCCTTATCTTGTTGCAATAGGGATGTGAGAGGCTTAGCGATCATTGAAAAATCTTTAATAAAACGCCGATAGAACCCGGCATGGCCAAGAAAAGACCTCACTTCCCTCATGTTGGTGGGGGGAGGAAGTTTTTCGATGACCTCAACCTTGGCTCTATCAACCTCAATGCTGGCATGTGAAATTTTGTGCCCAAGAACAATCCCACTTTCAACCATAAAGTGGCACTTTTCCCAATTCAACACGAGGTTAGCCCTCTCACACCTTTCTAAGCAACGAGATAAATTAGATAGACAATCTTCATAGGTGGCTCCTCCAACGGAGAAGTCATCCATGAAGACTTTTATCTCATCCTCAATCATATCACTAAAAATGGACATCATGCAACGTTGGAATGTTGCGGGGGCATTACAAAGCCCGAAAGGCATCCTACGATACGCATAAGTACCGTAGGGGCATGTGAAAGTCGTCTTCTCTTGATCCTTAGGGTCAATTGGGATTTGGAAAAATCCCGAGTAACCATCAAGGAAACAATAGAAGGAATGCTTTGTAAGCCTTTCCAACATTTGATCAATGAACGGTAGTGGGAAATGATCTTTGCATGTACTTGTGTTAAGTTGGCGATAGTCAATACACATGGGCCAACCGGTAACAAGTCTAGTGGGTACTAGTTGGTCATGATCATTTTTCACTACCGTCATGCCCCTTTCTTAGGCACAACTTGCACGGGAGATACCCAATCACTATGAGCAATTGGGTAAATAATTCCCGCATCAAGAAGCTTAGCCACTTCCTTCCGCACAACCTCTTGCATGGAAGGGTTAAGCTTTCTTTGCCTTTGCCTGACGGGTTTGGCATCTCCCTCTAGATCAATTTTGTGCATACATAAAGATGGAATTATACCCTTGATATCATCAATGGTATAACCCAAAGCCTTTTTGTGTTTTCTCAAAACATTGATCAAGAGGGAGGTTTGCTCCTCTGTTAGGTTAGAATTTACAATCACAGGGAAAGACTCATTAGGACCAAGAAATGCATACCTCAAGCCTAAAGGTAGAGGTTTCAAGTCTACCTTTGGTGCTCCCTTACCATTGTGGCTCTCTTCTCTTTCTTCAACTTGAAAGAGGTCATGAATTTAAGGAGCCTATTCTTCCATGCTCGCGCCCTTGCACTCCTTCTTGCTTTCCTTAAGCAAATCCTCATAGAATTGTATGTCTTCTTTGTGAGTACCTATCTTTGATTCATTCAACAACACACTTTCAAGGGGATCATTAGTAGCATGCAAGTGGGAGCGAGAAAATTCATCAAGAACCGTATCAAGAATATCTACCCTAAAGCATTCACCACTTGAGGAGGGTTGTTGCATGACATTGTTCAAATCAAACTCAATAGAATCATTGTAAATTTTCAAGGATATCTTCCCCTCCTTCACATCGATGATAGCTCTAGAAGTGGCTAGAAATGGCCTACCCAAAATTATAGGAATCCTCTCATTCTCATCCATCTCTAGCACATAGAAATCCACGGGGAATGTGAACTTTCCTACCCTAAGGGGAATGTCCTCAACTTTTCCCATGGGGAACTTAACGGAACGGTCCGCTAGTTGGAGAGTAATGTTAGTGGGAGAGAGGGTTCCTACACTAAGCTTTTGGTAGACGGAATAGGGCATGAGACTCACACTTGCTCCTAAGTCACACAAGGCTTTATCAAATTCAAAGCCATTGATAGAACAAGGGATGGAAAAGTTACCCAGATCTTTCAATTTGGTAGGTAGTTTGTTAGAAAGAATTGCACTACAATTGGCGGTTAAACTCACCGTCTCACACTCCCTTCTCCCACTCAAAAGATCTTTCAAAAATTTGGAATAGTGGGGCATTTGCTTCATAGCATCAACAAAAGGGACGGAGATATGCACTCTTAATGACTTCCAAAAACTTCCCAAATTGGGCATCAAGTTTAGCTCTCACAAATCGTTGTGGAAAGGGTAGCTTCTCCTCTCTAGGTTGGCGATTTAGGGGCAAGGGGGTGGCTTCTTTTTCCTTGAGCACCTCAACATGTTTTTCCTTTTCAACACTCAATGGCTCATTGGGTTTTTCATCCTCATTCTCTAGCTCCACCTCTTCTTGGGGTTCTTCCTCAATTAAAGGGTCACTCCCTACTACCTTCCCACTCTTTGTTGTCACGGCATACAAAGGTTTTTGGGTTGACTCCTTGACTTTGGATGTGAGAAGAAGAAGGAGAAGAAGAAGAAGGGGATGAATTAGATGCAAGTTGAGAAATTTGAGTCTCAAGCATTTTCATATGAGCATTGGTTCGTTTTTTAGCCTCGTCATGTTTCTTTTGATCCTCCTCACGCATTTTTAAAAGAGCATCTAATTTAACCATCACGGGATCTATTGGAGGGGCTTCAAGTTGAAGAGGTTGTTGAGGTGGAGGAAGTTGGGGTTGATGGAAACCCGGAGGCCTATTAGTTTGGGCATAGTTAGAAACAAATTGGCCCCTATTGCCTCTGGTGCCTTGGTTAGGAACATTGCCTTGTTGATTATTTCCCATGTTACCTTGGTCACCAAAATTTTGATTTTGATGGTCATGGTATCGGGAATTAGGTTGTTGGTTTTGATTACCATATCCTCTTTGGTTAGAGTAGCCTCTTCCATTGAAATTGGAAGGGCCTCCCCCACCATGGTATTGGTTATCATAACCACCACCATTTTGGTTCCAACCACGGTTTCCACCTTGATTCCAATTCCCCATTTGATTAAAGTTTGGCCTCAAGTTTCCTACATTTCCCATTCTAGGAGCAAAATTCATAGCATTGACATTTTCCATATTACTATCATGTTCATGGGAAGGGGGTTGAACTTCACAAGCATAGACACAATGAGAGGTATCATGATCATAGGTTTCACAATTAGAAAAAAACATGCATCATTGGGGCATTGTATTGTAAGAAGAGGGGGAGGAAGTATCCATACCATTGCCTCCCTTGGTTGAAGGGGAGGTATTACCATGAGGGTTGGACCTTTCTTTCATCAATTCATCCATTTGCTTGGTCATTTTGGAGATTTGGGTAGAAAGGTTGTTGATTGCGTTGGCTTGCTCCAATGCATAAACGCCCTTGCTAGAAGTAGCATCCCTTTCTCCTTCATACCAATCATCATAGTGCTTTGCGACTTCCTCTATAATACACTCCACTTCATGCTCTCCTTTGTTCATGATTGGACCACCGACTGCGGCGTTTAGGCTTGTTCTTCCTTGAGGTGTGAGACCTCCATATAAAGTGTGAATGAGTTGATACTTGGGTATCCCATGGTGTGGGCATTGACGTTGAAGCTCTTTGTATCGTTCCCATGCCGCACTTAGAGACTCACCACTCTTTTGGCGAAAACCTAGAATCAAAGACCGAGCCTCGGTGGTCTTCCTATGGTTATAAAACCTCCTCAAGAAAGCTGTAGTCACTTGGTCCCATGTCGTGAGAGAATTAGGGGGCACCTCCTTCTCTAGCCATTCTAGACCTCTCCCAATTAGCGAAAATGGAAACATTTTGAGGTGAATATATTCTTGAGTCACTCCGTTGGCCTTTATTGTATCACAATATTTCTCAAACTCTTTTAGCTGCTCATGAGGACTCTCAAACTTTCCACCCGAGAATTGTTTCCTCTCAATCAAGGCAATCAAATTAGGCTTGATCTCAAAATTGTTGGCTTGAGTAGTAGGAGTTAGGATCCCACTTTGCGCTCTAAAAGCTTCGGGGGCCCCAAGACGACTCAAAGGCGTATTCTCTCCCATTTTAGAACCTTCTTTACTCTCAAACTTATAGGTTGAGAAAGGGTTGATTTCTGAATTCGAAGATGATTTAGGGCTATCTAATTCTTCACTTGAGGGTTAAGAGGGTGGAGTATCTTCTAATTCTCTTACTCCTCTCGTTGGAGTGCGGGAATTTCTACTCCTTGCTCTTGCTTCTCTTCGAAGTAGGGACAAAGACCTCTCTAGCTCTGGATCGATGGGAATTAAAGATCTTGAGCGGGTTCGTCCTCTGTTCATACAACGAAGCTAAGAAGAACGTAAGCACTGACAAGTAACAAAAGTAACAAACACTAACAAATAAAGGTGAGATAGTCTCAAACAAGCAATGAAATAGCATGGAAACCGTCTCCCCGGCAACGGCGCCAATTTGACAAGGCAATAATCGTGTCGTTGAGCGACTACACCTAAGTCAAATTAATTTATAACGCTCTACCGACCTAATACATGTATAGGGTAAATAGAGGGGTCGAACCACAAGGAGACATGTATAAACACCGCATTCACTACTTAAGAATTTAAGCTATCTCGGGACAAGAAGTGTGAATAACTAAGAGATTAAACTAAGGATTAAGAATGATTAAAGATCAATATAACTAAACACCAAGGGAAGTGGGTAGATGTAGATGTCACTTGATCATGCAATAACACAAAAGCAAAGCAATGGTAAACTAAGCATGCAAGAATATTGAAATAAAGCTCGATCTAACCGCCTTCCGGGGTTAATCGATTTCTCCTAACATAGCCTCTATGTTTCCACATTAGAACCATATATTAGAAGGTGCAAACAAAGAATTATCCATAGTAATGAATCTCAACTAAGTCAACTTCCGTTACTTGTTAGTAAAGACTCATCTTTGATCAACTAACAATGTGCACTTGCAAGAAAGACCAAAGAATATCAAGCATACAAAGACTTTAATCACCATTGACATAACCCCAACATCATAAGCATGAATCAATTAACAACTACACCATCCCCACACCCTTGGCTAGGTGACTACTCACAAATCATATTGAAGACAATATCAATCATCAAATCAATAAGCATCAACATGATCAATAAGCAAAGAAGGAAAATCAAAATAAGCAAACAAAACTAAATACAAAAGTAAAGAAAGAGAGTAAGAGATTTCTCATTAATTGAAGATGAAGATTTACAAAGATTCAATCAAGCTCCTTCTTCAATATCCAAGTTCATCAATGAAAATCCACACTTTCTCTCTCTACTAATGAAGTTTCTCTCTCTAGATTAAGCTCAAATGTAGAAAATTAAAACTAAGTTCATCTCCTCCCCAAAAAGTTCTAAAAACTGGGACTTATATAGTCCGTACAGAGCCAGCTGATAAAAGGAGAGGTCCGACCGAACAAATGGGAAGGTTCGGCCGGACTACAGGGTAGGTTCCGCCGAACCATGGGTAGGTTCGGTCGAACCTCCCTGATCCTGGTCTGGTCGAACTCCTGTGGTTCGGCCACTCCTGCAAAACTGCCAATTTTCATCTTGCCCCTGCCTCAACGTTCGGCCAAACCACTGAGCAGGTTCGGCCTCACCTTGGTTCGGCCACACCATCAGAAGGTTCGGCCGAACCTCTTCTGAATCATGCTTCCTCTAGCTTCCTTTGAGCTTAGCTTCCTCCTCTTGAAAATCCCGATGGTTCCTACAAAGCATAAGCATGAAAATCACAATAGGAACAAAGCGGGAAGACTAAGAAAAGGGAGGATAAAGGAGAAAGAAAAGAGGAAGCAAAACTAAGTAGAAATGCTTAGAAAAAGGGCCAAACAAGTGCAAATGAGGGGAGAATCCTTAGAGAAAAAGGATAAAAGAGTGGCATAAATGCCACTCATCAAGAGTTAACACCCATTGGAATTACCTATGATGTTGCTTTTGATCGTCTCTATGACAGAGGATTAATTAAACCTATTGGCTCTACCGAGGATCCAACGCCAGAAAAGCGATCTTCAAGATGGGATCCTAATTCTTATTGCAAGTACCATCAAGGAAATGGTCATACCACCAATGAATGCTACAGATTTCAAAATCTCATTCAAGATCTCATAGAAGCAAACAAGATCCCATTGCCTCTAGCTAGCAATTCTAACAAGACCGGGTGATGATAAGCACAACGCACTAGGCGGGCTTCAATGACAAGATTTCATGACCTTTTTTTCTCTTTTCCATTCTTCCTATCCCTGATAAGTCTATCATAGGCATCCTCTATTTTCCTTAGATTTACTTTGTAGGTTTTTTCTTTTTCCCTTTTAATAAAATGAACATTTGTTTCCTTGCATATGATCATTGCATTGCACCAAATAAAAAATAATAAAATTCCATTTTGAACTAAGCACAAGGTATACCCATGATTAGAGGCACCTCTTGTAGCCATGCTATACCTTTCACCCTTCAAATATATAATGATAAATCACTTTGAGCCTCGTCTGATGATAGACCTTTCTTTCTTCAACCCACATCTACCAAACCTTAGGATGGGATGGTGTGCAATTATGCAATTTTCAAAAAAATAAAAACTTGAGTGATTTTTAAAAAATAATATTAAAATAGCAAAAACAATCAAGTGTACAAAAGGGCAAGTGTTCCGATATCTTTGACATGAATATGTCTTTTATATCAATACGTCTCAGATTGCGTCTCTTACCGAGTGCTCGATACAGCGCCTGAGAAACATGAATGCCAAGTGAGTGATAGACCACATGATCGGGATTGCCCACACTTATAAAAAAGGTTCAAAATAAAAAAAATGCAAAAAAAAAAAAAAAAAAAAAAAAAAGAGCAAAAAAAAAAAAAAAAAAAAAAAAAGAGCTCAAAAGTGAGAAACCTCAAGCATAATAATACAAATATTTAAAAGCAAGGTTGCACACCTTGGGGGCTTTTCTAGGGTCTTGAGCCTTTATCCTTTTCTTCTTCAACCTTTAGCCTAACCACGTTACAACCCTTAAAAGACCTCTTTGAAGTATACACACACTTGTGCAAGGTTCGGCTAGAGCTACGTTCGGCCTGATTCCTAACGGATACGTAGGCAACCTCACATCGAGGTGCGGCCGTAATAAACATGCATTCATATTCACATTTACACACTCACACCATGATCATGTAAAATGATCTCCAATGCTCATCCATATTCATTTAGA